ATTTTTTCTAAAACGAATATTTTTAGAGATATTCGACCGTTTTGGAACTTATAGCACGCATTGTATAGTTTCAGTGGCGAAGCAAGTGTATTTTACCCGAGGGGGCAAAAGAAGGAAAAATTCTGAAAATTATTATTTATGCCGTTTTATTCGACATACTACGACAAAGTGTAATCTAAAATAATAGTAAATTTATTTTAGTAATTCGATACGGCTTACAACGTTTATTTTCTAATAGAAGAACTAGTCATATACAAATCGCTCATGTCTGGAACCTGTAACTAAAAATTTGTCTAGCAAATATCACGGTCGTCCGTGTTACACTTGACCAAGTACAAAACTGCCAGTAAGGAACGCTCGGGTCGGACACACGCATGTATATTGAGCTTTTAATAGTGAGATTTCTTGTACTTCCTAGTAGTTACTTTCCGTAAGGAAAGGGGTATAGTATGGGGTATCCCAAGGGGTATCTCCAGGGGGATATACAGGGTGTTCCGAAACTACCTGACCCGGTGGGTATAGCGGTGTTCGGGAGGCTTCACTGATCACAAAAATGACCTTCTTTTTGTCCGGAAGGTCATAGTTTTTAAATGGGAGCAGGTCAAAGTTGACCAATCAGAGGGAGGCGTCAAGAGAAATGTAGGCACCTGCGAACTCTGAGTTTTCTTTCCTCGCTTTTGTTTCTCGGTGGCTTCGGGCAGGATGACGTCAGCCGAAGACATGCCTATTGGAAACCAGAAACAAGCCACCGAGAAACAAAAGCGAGGGAAGAAAACTCAGAGTTCGTAGGTGCCTACGTTTCTCGTGACGCCTCGCTCTGATTGGTCAACTTTGGCCTGCTCCCATTTAAAAACTAAGAGCTTCCGGACAAAAGGAAGGTCATTTTCGTGATCAGTGAAGCCTCCCAAACACCGCCATACCCCGTTGGTCAGGTAATTTTAGGACACCCTGTATATACTTTTGGCTAAGGAATACTTTGGAGACACGAAAAATCAAAGGGCGTTCACAATAGCAAGCTAATGTTTAAAAAAAAAACGACGAACTTGTGATGTGACAGCATTGGAATTCTTATCTAACCGTTTTTTTTTTTTTTTGGGG